TCATGTTCTGCTCGTCTAAATGACCCGAACAAAAGGCATCCCCGAATCGTGCACTCACATGCAGGTGTAATCTGATCAGTTCCAGATTGAACCCCAGTCGTTAGATTTTCACACGTGAAAAAACAACCGACCCCTTTTTAAGAAAGAAAAAACTGCTCAAATTGGCTGTTTATGCCACATAATAGTTTTTTCGATGAGAGTTGATTTGAAGCCGTCCCGTTGGGATTCAAGTATGGGCTGATCAACGCGGAGGCTGTGACGTTAATATCTCGGGCGGTGTTTCTTCGACAGCGCATGGTCTCTCGAATGGCGGGAACTCGTCATCCTGCTGTGCCGGTCTCTCAACCGGATGTGTTAAGTCTGGAGTCAGAGCAGGACGTAAAAGAATGGAGAAGGCTTCTGCAATGACGGCGAGGGGAACATTCTCGGGCTGCGGTCAAGAAGATTGTTTCTGTAAGAGCTGATTGGTGTAAAATCGCCGAGATGATCTGTCGTCCATCTCCACCTTGTGTATGTTGTTTCTGGTTTTGCGTTTGATTGTTCCCGGCTGCCAATTTTGAGAGCATTGGTGTTGTGCGAAGACAAGCTCCTTAGTTGTGAAATTTCATTCTCAGGCGCCCTGCTTGAGGTTAAATTGCCTCTCCATTTTGATGTCACACTCTGTTGGATATTTTGGCAGCAATAATAGGTCGAGTAATGTTCGGATCTTCCGTCCGAAGAAGAGTTGCTTGGAGATTTGCTGTCCGGTAGAGCCAAGTTTGGAGTTATCCGATAAGTCTCCAGAAATATGACCAAAGCACATTGTATATTTTCCTCCCCTTTTAACTTAAGGAGAGCTTGCTTCAGTGTGTCTATGAATCGTTCTGCCTGTCCATTGGATTGAGGATGATAGGGCAGCAAAAAGACATGTTTAATTCCATGTTGGGCACAGAATCTTTAAAATTCATATGAGGTGAACTGCGTTCCGTTATCACTGACAAGAACTTCTGGCAGTCTGTTCGAAGCCTAAAAAAAGCTCAAAATTTACACTGATTCAAATTATCACAGCATTTCATTGATTCGTACATAATATGATTACAGGTAACCCCCGTATAACACGGCACTTCTATAGCACGGATTCGCTCTAACACGGTTCGAGAATTGGTACCATCCCTCGTATAACACGGTACTTTTATAGCATGGATTCACTCTGACACGGTTCGAGAAATGGGTAAAACCCTCGTACAACATGAAATGTAATAAATTTTTACATACTTAAGTACTAATAGTTTACGAAAATTATTATTTTCGTGAACTATTAGTACTTCAGTGTGTAAATTTTCTTTTCTCGTCTCCATACACATGGTCCTTTGCGAAAATTGTTTCAATTTTGCCAGATCTCGACGCTTCTGCTGTTGCCAGATGTTTTTCCCTTATTCCATAAGTGCTTAGCACCATATAAGGAAATTTATAAAGATCTTTTAACTAGAAGCAAGCAATCTAAAATTACATACACTTTTTGCAAAAGGTAAAGCATGAATCTGAAAATAATGCAGAAAAATGCTCAGAGGATAACGATAACTTGCCAAAAATAAAACGCTCTCAATTAATAGTGCTTTTAGTGATGACAAAGAAAAAATTGTTTAATTTATACTAATATGTATCACTTAAGAAAATTTTAATAAAGATATTTATCTTAATTATGAAAATATAGTAGCATGTTTTTTAATTTTTGGAACTTAACCCTCCTTTTCGTACTAGTTCTTTGTTTCGCATAACACGGCAATTTTTTGGAACATAACTACCGTGTTATACAGGGGTTACCTGTATTTCCAAACACGAACCAATCAGCAAAAGGTGGCAATTCATTGTACCGCAATACTTTCCTTAAATCTATGCTTGTTAGGTACAATTTTGGAAAAATATAACATCACGAATGCCATAGGCAATATCGACTTTGCATGGCAAGAATTAACTAATGAATGCAAGAACAGAGTATGGAAGAAGTTACGGCCAGAAGTATCCAAGAATTCTCAACAAGAAGAGCCTACCATTGTATCGTTAAGTTGACCAAATTGACAACCTAATTGATACAGGACTAGATGTAGATGAGCAGGATACTGAGCAGTTACAGCAAGTTTCTGGTGAGAGCCTCACCAACGACCACCTTCAAGAACTGGCAAAACAAGGAATTCCCATAGAAGTAAAAAATAGTGATTCTGAAAACAAAGAACCCAAATAATCTCTCTACAAATTTCCTTAGTGAATGTTTGGTAATGATAACCAAAATCGTTGATCAAATTGTAGTAAATGATCCAGATTTTGAAAAGAGTGCAAAAGCAAAACAAGGCATTTTGGATGCCATCTTCTGCTACTGATATTTGCCTAAGGAAAGAAAAAAAACAATGCGAAAAATGAAACTACACAACTTTATCACAAAAAACAAGAATTTCAGAAAAGCCAGGACCTTTGTCACAAAAAATGAGCTTTACATTTTTGTGTGCATATGTTTGTGTGTTATTTAACATGTAATTTTATGCAAATTAATATAAAATAATCTAAAATTGAAATAAAATCTGTTTATTTTTGGTTGCATGTTCCCCTTTCCCTATTTACTCTATGTTAAAATGACTTCGTTTAACGCTGCTTCGCTTAGCACTTTGTCATGTAGGAACACATCCCCCGTGTTAAGTGGGCTCTTACTGTAATTAATTTTTATTTTATCCCAATTTTTATAATTTTCAAACCATAAAATGTGAATGTGAAGTTCAAGTGCAAAAGTAATTTTGAATGAAAAATATTCATATATTTTAAATCTCCATTCTTACACACACTTTGTAATGTTGGAACTACTTCAAAGAGAAAACTGTATAAGTTTCTACCTTGAATGTATGTTTTGCTCTGTTTATCTCACATTCTGAAAACTGATTTGTTACCATGACAGATGGCTGTTTAATGGCATTATCTTTAAAATTCTTAGACATTTTCTTTACTGATTAAAAATGGTTAGGGAAATATAACAACCTTTAAAATAATCTCTCTTTTTTAAAAGGCTTTAAAATATTATTATATAAGCAAATTAATAATGCCAGATTACATTTAACATAAATAATAGCAAATGTAAAAACAATACTTTTCATTTTACTTATTCTAATATTTTATCCTCTACTTTATCAAACATAATCACAACTGCTATAATTATGTTAAATATTTTTATTATTTTACTGAGTGAAAAAAATGTGTGTTTTTTCTGAGGTTCTTTAAATATAAAATAAGTGTTTAGCATGTCAAACACTTCAAATCTTTATCAACAGATTGAGGATATAATGTATTAAAAACTTTTTCAAATAGTTTATTGAATTAACAGCTCATTTAATAATTCCTGTGCTGTATGTACAATAAAATACTTGTTTAATGCTATATAATTGATATATTGCAATAAGTGATAACATTAATAACAACACAACATACCTCAAGGTAAATCTCAAACTATTAACATATACAATTTTCAACTGATACTTTTTTGTGAGATATAAAAAAAAATAGACAGGTCTTTAAAAAAGCTTAATTGTTAAGACTAACTAAACTAGTAATTGATGCATAGTGTATACTTAATGAAGATAGAATATCAATAATAAACTGTTTTTACTATTTATTTTTGTATGATATATTGAACAATAATGTGGCAAAACAAGTCATATCAGTATAGCTTTTTTTTTCTGTTACATTACTATAAAATATGGTACTTTGTTACATTCAACACACTAAATACGACTTTACAGTAATATAAAGTCAGTCTGCAAAATGATCAAACACAATTCTAAGCTGTTATTAGGTATATTTTAGTAAACATTTTCAAACAATGGAAATATCACCACTTTTAATGGCATTAATTGTATTTTTAAAAACAGCTAATACTTTATGGTACTGAATATAAATTTCATTACATAAAAAATGATTATTTTACTCTACTTACCCTAATCTTTTTGATATATGTTTGATAAAATAAGTCATTGTAATTATGTTAAATTTTCCATTCCTTATTTTAATTGCTACATGTAGTTTTATGTAAGATTATTTAAGGCTTTCTATCATAATTACTTTGTTTTTATTGAATTTCAAAAAAGAACAGATCTGTTTAATGTTCTTGGTAAAACTTTTAGAAAATTTGTCAAAAATAATAAAAAAACAGTACTGTAATCAAAATACCTTTGTAAATTTCAGAAATATAATAGAAGTTCAATTCTACTTTAATCTGATTAGAGAAAATACCACTTTATACATACATCTATATAATTTTTACACAAAAAGCTTTTCCTCTTGAAATATAATCTCTCTCTTAGAAATCAAAACTTACTTTAAGACAAACTTTCTCATAAGATCTCATGAAAAGACAGTAATAAATTAATTCTAGATTTATTATGTTCTCCATGATTTTGTCTAGCTTAAGAATTCAAACTTTTAAATTTCAAAAAACTTATTTCAAATACTAAAATTATTCATCTATTTGTTCTATTGTTTCATAAGTTATTTAGTAGATTAGGACATAAAATGAATTATAATATTTTCATTGATCAAAAATATATTATTTCAAATTTGATCATATCATGTAATTTTTATATCAACGTTTTAAAAATGAACTTTCTTAGCAAAGAACTTTAGCCTAATTGTAACATACTAAAATTTTAAGATTTTTTAGTGTAACCTCTTAATGTGACAAAATGTATTTAGTTTTAGCTGTTTTGGTTTAATCAAAAACAACATTAAAAATTAACTGTTTTTAATATTGCTTCCAATAGTTATTTTTAGTATACAACAGTTTTTAAATTAACTATCTAATCTCTGTATTATGTATATTTAATTGTCATGATACAAAGAAGACAAAATTACTATATTTAATGTATACTGTAAAAGGAATCAAACTTAAAATCCAATAAATGATGAAAATTTTAAAATATCCTTTTTCAAGTAATGTATTAACAATATATAATATATAAATGTTATTAAACATATCAACTTACCCAATCAATATTCAAAATGCACTTCTTTCACAGTTGTTGAATGACAATTAAGAAATGATGCTGGAAGACAAAATTACAGACTTTAGAGAAGACAGTATCATTGGTAGTGGATAATTTGAATATGTAAAGTTTTAACAGATCTATTTTTGATTAAATTAAGATCCCCCAAAGGGGAGTGGGCCATTCCCGGAGGTACTGCAATACCGGGTCAACCCGTGGCAGAGGTGGAGCAAGCTCCGAGCACTCCGCCGCCTTCCAAAAATCAGTTTAATATCATGGCCTCCGATGGAAGCCGTATCAGATATTAAGCTGATAAGAACAGATACTACACTTTGATCTTAGCCAAAAGGCCGAGAAGCGATAACCACAGAGAGTCCCTCTCCGAAATCATTCGCAAAACGTTCGTCCGCTCGAGGGTGAACGAAATTTCTATCGTGGAGTGCAATTTCCAACAGCAACAGCATCATTTACTGATGGTTCTCACTTCAAATAACTATCACAGACCACCAATTTACTCAATACAGTTTTATTGTACTGCAAGAATTATGAAAAATTCAATTTATTAATGCTATGAGTCCTCCTCTGCCTTCACCCCCCCTAAGACATTAACAAAACGTTGCCACCCTCACATACATCAATAGATGTCGCCTCTGTATCATTTCAACACAGATTATAAAAATATTTTATTCAATTTTTGAGAAGACAAAAAATCAATAAAATCTCGAAATAATCTCAAAATAATAAAAGAGGGGATTTGCAAAATTTTTATGTCCCCTTTTAATTACTTTGTGTGATAACTGATAAAACGATGTTAAAGTTAAAGTTAAACATAAAAAATTTCACACACAAATTGAATTTGCTATTTCATAAAATTTTGTTAGGAACTAAATTATCCGTTTTTAATTTTTATAATTATTAGCATCTAGTGTTTAATTAGATATCTTACTACATTTTGATTAGATATTTAAAAAAAATTTTTTTTTTCGACTTTAAAAATTTTCTTCCTGCTTTATACATAAAGCATTTTCTTATCCAGTAAATATATAAAATGTATCCGATAATTTTTAAATATTTACAATTTAATGAGAGAATTAATATTTTTGGACTGCAATTTTAAAAAATTGTAGACCTGTAAATTCCCACTGTCATCCATCTGTCTTTCGTTAATCTCAAAAACAGAGTTACATCGATAAAATTCAAGATCAGATATAAAAACCTTACGGACAGGAGGCCCCAATTAACTATATAAAAACTGCCGACGCAAACCGAAAGTCGAGTTATTTCAATTCAAAAACTTCCCCCGAAAAAATGTTAGATGACCAGCATGACTCCACTGCTAACAGGAAAAGTATGATGTACAGGGGCAAGACTCTACAGTACTAACTATAGATGGATAGCATATATTTTAAATTTAATTAATTAAAAATACAATTAAAAACTGCAGCCGGGCAATGTGACGATGTCACAATAAGTAATTGCTCGTTAATAGTAAAAAAAAAATTAATATTTAACCGTAAAAAATGAATTTATTACGTCAATCAGAAGAAAAATAAGGTGATCATTTCTAAATAAAAATTTTAAATTACCCTTTTTGTTTTTTTATTTCCTTTCGAGTTATGTTTTTTCAAGAATGAAATCAAATTGACATCGAACATTTCCATTAAATGCAGTATTTCAATTTCGGTTACGGATTCTTTTGTCCCGTTTTGGGGTATCTAAAAACAATTATTTAAATATAAGAAAATGAAATTATATAACATTACAATAAAATATGAAATTTTTACAGTATATAAATTTGATAAATTTTCAATATACTGTCATACTAACGATAAAGAGAATCGGGAACTAAATTTTCAGGGCTTTTCTTCCCTGAATTTCACTTCATCGCATCATTTCATTAAATCGCATTACTTTGTCTTGGGCGCTTCAAAAATTATTGCTTACATTTAAAACAACATAATTATTAAGTTTTAAAATGAATATAATTGAATAAACAATTTTCAATTAATCTTACGAAAAGAAAACGCTTCAAACCACCGAATTTTTATCTACAATAAATTTATCTAACATTTTATTATTGGAAATCATAAAAATATACTTACCGAATACGGGAAAGATCGTTAGCAATTCTCCTACCACGACCGATAAATTAGAGTTTGAAGTCACGCTCCATTTTTAACACCCGGTTACTAATTGCGAGTAAAAGCAAGCGACAACACCTACGAAACAAAATTAACGGTTCAATTTTATATTCATGTTTTTTCTTACACAAGTAGGATTACAAAAACACTTTAAATGTTTTATAAATTTTCAATTAACTACACAATCAGAAACGAACGCAGACTTCAAATCCAACTTCTCTAAAATTCTTCCAATTATAGTTATTATAATTACTTAACAAATACTTCTAAGCGATAAGATTAAGTGCTATATAAGATAATTAAATGAATATATTTTGAATATATAATACAGTCGTCTCTCGGTAACCGCGAAGGATTGGTTCCGGCAATCCCGCAGATGCTCAAGTCCCTTGTATAAAATGGCGCAATAATCCCATGTACTTTAAATAATCTACGTTATTTATAATATCCAATACTTCGTATATGCAAATTGTTATACTATATTATTTAGGGAACAATGACGTGAAAAATGTACGTACTGTATAGTACACGATTGGTACAGATCGTAAGACTACGTACTACAAAGTAATATTTTCTTTCTTTCTTTCAACACTTACAGGTTGCTTTCGTTTAATGACCCGAAATAAAAATACGTAAATTGAAACAAAATATTTAATACACAAAAAAATTCAACTATTTCTTTCTGCAATTTTCCGAATATTTTTGGTCTGTAAATACTGAGGACAGACAGTACAGTTGAAACAACGTTATTTTTTTAAAATTATATTTAAAAGTAATATCAATACGAACAAAAATTACTGTGGCCGTCAGAATGCCGGGCTGTAATTTTTAATCATATTCGTAATTTATTTAATTTAAAATATATGTTTTCGATATGAAATTAGAAATTTCTTTCCCCTGTATATCATAATTTTCCTCATAACAAGTCATGCCGGTCATCTTTGTAACTCCGTTCGGGGAAATATTTTTTTAAATGAATCGCGTAATTTACGATCTAGACCGGACGTTCGTATATAGTTAATCGGAATTATAAATATGTGAGATCCAAAATGTCCCCTACACAATATAGTTAAACCGACGTTCTTCGCCTCGTCAAAGCATCAATTGACTGCAAAGAGTTAATTAACGCGATGTCGCGCAGGTAAAAAAGAATTGGGAGGGTTGTGCACGGGACGCAATCGCAATGGTTTAAAGCGTGAAACCGTAATTGTGCTATTAGAGCAATAATACGATGTAAATGAATAAAGTCTTGCTGATTATCACATTCCAAGTCAATATCTATCAAGCCGATTTAAGTGAGGTTTAAATAACCTCACTTAAACCGGCATTTTCCCCGGATTAAATCGCCATGCCCGGATTAATTCAGCGAAAATACGGTAAAAGTATGTAAATAAAGAAGAGATAATGCAATAAAAAATTATCAACTGGGATGCCACTATTTGAAAGAACTGTCTTAAGCGGCAAGAATGTAAAACAGCTTTCGCACGACTGTTACGGATTCGATCATGCACGAAAAATTGTGACAATGGTGAGGGGCGAAGGACAAGAATTTTTCAATGTCGCTTCGGAAATTTACAGTAGCAAAACCGAATTAAAAAATGGATATCTCATAAAAGAAATAATATTCTAATTGCGATCGACCGCTAATACAACCGTAAAAATTACTATTCTCATTAATAAATTAATTAATAATTACCAAACCAGGAAATTTCTTCCAATGTCTCGATCCTAAAATCAAACAAAAACCTCAATAATAAATAAAAACCTACCAAATCCGACGCTCAACAAAGCGCTTATCTGAGCAGTCACAAAGTAGTCAATATGCTTTACTCCATGATTCGATGGTTTAAGAACAATTTATTCTTTATCCGTGGGGAGTTGGTTCCTCGATCCTCCACGAATACAGAGGAACGCATGCAGGGGCGTGCCGCGACATTTGATGATAGGGAAGCTGTGTTTCTATAAGAAGCCGACATCCAGGGGCAATCAGTTAATTCTTTCTTTAAATGTATTTTTAATAGATTATTTATCTGACGTACTTAATAAACAAGTTAATTATAATTACCTCTGTTATTATATCCAATATATTCCATATGCCCTCTAAATGCCAATTCTTGCTTTGATAAAAACATATAACATCTATTTATTTAGATATAATATATCTATTAACCGTAACTATCTCGTTATAATTTTCAATATTTATTTTATATTATTTACTAATGTTAAATTCTATTCCGCTTCGATTTCCAAATTGCTTCAAATACGAAAGAATCGACGATTTTTCGTGTCTTTTGCCAGCTAAATTGTCAAAGCCATTCTTATTCCACACACTAATTTCATTTGAAAATAGTAGGCAAGCCAACAAAACAATTTTTGCATTTTTATGCATTTACAGAGCCATTTTATCGTGAAAATGTCGAACAAATTTTTTTATTGAAGTGTTTATATTTAACTTAGGCATTGGCCTTTCTCTTTTAATAATGTTTTCTTTTTCATTATATGATCTCGAGCCAAAACTTTTTTAAAATAAATTTTCAATATCGCAATTACATTCCGAATCGCTAGCCACGATATAAGGGCTAAAATTAAAAATAAAATTATAAAAACTTACTTGGTGAAATAAAATGTGTGGTGGATATACATACCTGGTACAAAACATTCTTCAATTGTATGAATATACTTTTAAAGAAAATTATAATTAAATATAACTTTGTAATGAAACGTACATGAAAATAACATAAAATATTCTTTACTCTTTAAATCTTAACCACTTAGTCAAATAGCTCCCTACGAGTGGAATCAGAGACGGTCCTGCTAGGTGTGCGGTGTGTACTGTACATGCACGCGGGCTGCCAAATCCCGAGGGTGCCGATACCCTCGGAATTTGGCAATATCAAATGTTTCTTTTGTCGCATCACTAATATACCTCAAAAGACGCGACAGGGTTCTTGTAAATTTTAAACGTTTCTCACCATAGCTGTAAAAGTCTAAATGTTAAACTTAATAGATTGTCCGTCTTTTGTTTTCTAACTAATTCGTTTTAGGACCAGGTGTTGTCCACGGAAATTTCCAAAATTTACAACTTCGGTCACTCTCGTCGAACTGAAAAAATTTCTGTCTTTATTACATCTAATACAGTATTTCGAAGAAATCAGTCCCCACTGTACTCGGCTACAGATTGGTTCGGTTAAGCTTTTGTTTAAGTAATATTCCGGTTCTTTCGTCAGGGTTTTGCTTATGTCCCCAATTCCCTAATCGCTTAATTATTTACCTACTTCTTAAGTAGAAATAAGTCGAAACCAGTTACTTTGTACTCGAATATTTGTAGTCGCGGGGAAAAAGTGGAAAGACAAATTTTTATCACAAACGGATACATAAATCGTAAATTTAAGGAAAATAAATTCTAGAGCATTTTCTGTACCTCGTGCATCTCTCTCATTCATTAAATTTAGTTGTAAACGATGCTACCAAAGTAACAGTTAATTTTTTAACATTATACTGTACTAGAATTGTACACGTTATTTTCTACATCCCCTTAAAGATGGGATGTACGAAATCGTAATATCACTGGTTTAACATCGAAATCCGTGAGTAATATAAAATCGGAAAGCGGAATAAATATATCAAATATTTTTTTAAACTCCTGTCAACTATACAGAACTATCGTAAAAACATAGTAAATTCTTATCGGTTGGGTTAAGTTATAAATATACTCGTTATTCACGTAATCGAAATATCTAGTGGGCAGGCGGCTAACAGCCCAGAACCGGTCCTTGATAGAATTGGAATCTTTGTGTGTGCAGCTTTCACCCAAGGTCGTAGGCTTCCACCGGCTAACACGTGCAGAGAAAAGGGCTTAACTGGTCAACACGTGTCTAGCCGCTTCCAATTGTGATTTGACCAATGAAAATTTCCGGAGGATTAATACGACAAAATCTTTGTTTACCATAGGTGCCAAGTTACAATAAATAGACTATAGTGGTACTTAGATACTCGATAGAACAATCACGATCCGCTAGAACAAACTTTCGGTTAATAATAAATATTTTTATTTTACTTTTTGTCATCAGTAAAAAGTTCTCTGTGATAAAAATGAGTAACTCATCTATATCTGTAAACGAGAATGTTTGTTTGTTCGCTATACACATCTAGGCCGTTCGACCAACTGCTTCGAAACTGAACAGTTCCGTTAATATACTACTAACTTAGATAACGTCGTACATACTATCCCAAAATATTTACTGATTCCTATATATTAATTAATTTTTGTCTACATTAGATGTGCTAGATTTGTGTGTAGCGCCGTCTATTGACAAACAATTTTAAAAATAATAAACTAAATATAATTTAAACAAAAAAGGATATTAAAAACGAAACAGATATTATATTCAATTTAATTACTGCGACAATGATATAGCGCGAAGTAGACTCGCCATATTATTAGTTCGATGAAGTTTCCGGGTTTTCTTCAAGTTAGTAACGCCTAAATAGTGGCTAATTTTCCATAAAACTTCTCCCCGGAGGATCGCCCACGTGTCGCGTAACGGTGACCAAATAAACCAAACAAATTCTAATAATTTTTCTATGAACTCGCTATTTACGATTAATAACTCCGGGTCTAACAAGCTAGTTTAAAAATAAAATGAAATCTTACAGCTCCCTTCAAGATTAAGGGCAACCCGACAACAAACGAAGTGGCCAAGTGCCTCAATGTACGGCGCCCCTGCCCTCAAACACAAGTTACCATGCCAAATTTCGTTTCTTAATCTTCACCACGTTCTGGGATATTAAACGAAATAAATGCCAATACACACAACGGAAAAAATCCCATAAAAACAAAATTTTTTTGCCGTTTTTCTGAGGTTTTTTTCTGTCAGAAGGTCTCAAAACATGGCGATCTTCAAAGAACAGGGATGGTCAAATTTGACACGACTCCAATACTTTCCGTTACGTACACATAACAGCTGAGAAAGTAAAATCCAATATATTTATAATCATAACGATTGGTTTCTTCAGAGTAATTCAAAGAAATCATTATATATAACTTTTTAATCTAAGTGTTAGATTATAATCTATAATCTAAGTGTTAGCTATTTCTTGCAAACTTTGCAAGAAATAGCTAACACTTTAAGAAATGTTTTTAAAAATTTTGAAAATAGCACACAAATTGTGAAATTAGAAAGATTTCAAAAATCTTCCAAAGAATTACACTATTACCAGAACCCTTCCAGGAAAGATGGCATACTTTGAGAATAGGTCACACATTTCGTTATTAGAGAAAACATTTATCAATAACGATTAATTTCAAGATCAGTGTTGATCATGGGAAATAAGAAATTTCTGAATATTTCCTTCAAGTGTTGTAACTTAGTAATTAATTTAATTACTAAATTATTAAAAATTTAAATTACACAATATTGTATTTTTATGAACTATACAACAGTTCCATAGTTCCTTATATTAAATAAATAATAATTACTACAAATTTTAAAAAGGCAAGTATTTCTCTTATTGTTAATTTGGGAATAGAAAAACATCAAATGAAAACAAAAGATAAAAATTAAGAAAATCAAACAAATACAGTAATAATAACAAAACAATACTTCATCTATAAAAGAATTATTCATTTTAATGCAAATTTAACAAATTTCAAAAGAATTTTCTCAATATTAAGATGCTGGCAGAATGATAAATTTACTTATTCAAATGGCAAAACTTTCTCAAAATAATTTAGAAAATGACTGAATAGATAATTTTGTAGCCTACTTATGGACTTGTTTGCTTATGAATTGGTTATATTTTTAATTTCTTTTTGTTTTTCATTTTTAATATGAAAGATATAAATATTGCTGTTTTATTTTATGGCAATCTAGAATATGCTCATTTTTAATATGCTGTATTTGTTAAATTTTTCCTTATAAAATTCTTTTGTAAAAAATGTATTCATTTTCTACCACATTAATGTACATTTCAGACCTGTCCCAAAAGTTTAGGAGAAATAATTTTTCATCAAAAACTGTTAAAATACTGAACTTTTAATTGATTTAATAAGACAAATGCAATCACAATGCATCATACTAGATGTCATAAATATGACAAATTTAAAGATTTAATAATTATTAAGTTGCTTAGAATAACAGAAATTTTGTTAGATTTTGTTGTCCCAAAAGTTTAGGTAATAATAATACTTTCTGAGCAAATTACTACACAAATTCATAATAAATCAATTATGAATATTAATAATAAATTCTCGTGAAATCTTGCTTTTATAATGTTATTTTTGAAATTAACAAAGAAATAATGGAAAAAGCCCAAAGAAAATCAATTTTCTTTGAATGATGTGACTGAAATTTGAAGATTGAAAGCAAGTGGACATTCAGTTACTGAAATTTCAAGCAAAATAGGTTGTTCAGCTTCTGGAATAAATAGTTTTGGCACGTAAATTTAAAACAGCAACACGACATAAAGTAACATCACTCACAGGTAAAAAATGCATTAGACTGGCATCTAGACAAAATTTATCAGTTAAGTTTTAAGAGTCTATCTAGCTTAAATATTTTGAAAAATACTGTGCAGAAAATAATAAGTAAAAATCCTTATATTAAACTAACAAAAATGTGTAAAAAACCACATCTGAAACCCAAACATCTTAAAGTAAGAACAAATGAGCAAAAAGCTACATGCAGCAGAAAGATGAATGGGTTAAGCACACTCTTCAGCGAAAAAAAAAATTAGAACTTAGATGGTCCCGATGGCAGGAATTACTACTGGCGCAATCTGAGAAAAGAAGACAGTGTTTTACAACGAACAACAAGATGGTGGCTCTCTAATGGTGCAGGGAGCATTTGGATTCAATGGAATTTCCAGTCTGGCATTTCTTTCTGGACATCAGACTTCATAACATTATCAAGACAACACAACCTTAGTACAACTCCTTCCTATAGCAGAAATGATAGATTGTCCAAATTGGACATTTCAACAGAACAACATTCCAATTCATTGTTCAAATTCAACAAAAAATGTAACATTCACATTTTGATTCTGAAGCCAAAATGGCCCACAAGAAGTCCTCACCTAAACCTAATAGAAAAAACTTATGGGGGATCATGGCAAGAAAGGTGGTTGTCAGTTTTCCAATGTTACAGAACTTAAATGTGCAATTTAAAATTCATGGTACAGTAGAACCTCGAAAACTCGGCCCTCGATAACCCGGCACTCCGGATAACTCGTCCACACCCTGGCTGGGCAAAAAAATCCTTAGTTAATTAATTTTAATTATAGACAGCTTTATAAAAGTATAAAAGCTCTCATAAAGTATTTTTCTGAGGTCTGTCTTATCAGGTAAATTACTGTACACAGTGTATTCATTAATTTTCATTTTCATGTAATAAAGGCTCTATGCCTTCATAAAGTACGTACTTTTCCTTTGTTTAAGGGTATTTGGGCAGTTTATTCTCTGTTGTATTCTCAAGTTAACAATACATACAAGTACAGTACACTATTTTCTGAGGAAACACGCATACTTATCCTTTTTTAACCCCATTCCCGATAACCCGGCATTTTCGCAAACTCGGCCACCCTTCGGTCCACATTAGGCCGAGTTTTCAAGGTTCTACTGTATAACTTGAAACCAGAATTGTTTAACTCTTGTGAATTCAATGCCGAATTGTGTGTATGATGTTATTAAAAATAATGGAAGAACAATTGACCATTAAAAATGTTTTCGATGTAATTTTTGAAATTTATCTAAAGTTTTGGGACAACAATGGTATTAAATTTACAAAAATTATGTAATTCAAGGATCTAACTCTTCAATTAATTCATTATTCAAATTATAACTTTTGTCATTTTTATATTTACGTACCATACATGCAATTTGATAATAAAGATTTTTTTATAAAATATTTACCTAAAAGGGCAACAAGAACATTATAACCAAGAGATTATAATGCTAAATCCGCCTCTGGACACCCATCTTCACTTCTGAAAACAAAAATAAAAGAAATATATTTCATTTGTCTCTTTCAATATAATAAACGAATATTCTTATTTATAACACAATTAAAATTTAATCTTTCATAAATTTAATACCTTAAACCAGTGTTTCTCAACGGGGTCGATATCGCCCCCATGTGGGCGTTTTTCCATGTTGACAGGGCGATTAGTAACAATTTATATTTTGGGGGCAAAAAACAATTTTCTGGGCGATATAGTAAAACATTATATTAAGAATAATTAGATATTTTATTCGTTATATAGTACAATAATTAAACAAAAAACACTATACTAGTCACTAGTCTATTCGATGCAGTACGAATTTGACGTTAGCCTTGGCCCTCGGCATCGTAATTTTGTAGTGAAGGGGGCGATACTACGTAACGGTTTTATTGATGTGGGCGATACTACGTTGAAGGGGACGACGGTTCGTTAGAAGTGGAGAAACACTGCCTTAAACTTATGATACAGTACATTTAACAACTTTTGGCCGGAGGCTCTAACGGTTTGGGGCTCTGGAATCATTAAAGAAACAATATACCGGCGACCCGAAAGTGCTTCGGATCCTATTAATCTATACTATTATAACAAAAAGGTAATGTTTGTAAGTATGTATGTAAGTTTGTTTGCAGCAGGTAGTCTCCGAAACTACTCATCCGATTTCAAAAATTCTTTCACCAATATTTAGAATGGAACCTCAGGGTGGACATAGGCTGTATATTATTCCATTAAACATTCATATAAATTAAAATATATAATCTAGGTTAAGGCTTTTATGTCCAACAGATGGCGCTACGAGTACGATGCCCTAAGTTTGCTTTTCTGATGATGAAATAAAGCAGATCATCTATCTATTTATATAAATAAAAATGTAATGTTCGTTTGTTCCTACCGATTCCTTTGAAATTTGACACAACGCTGCATTCGAATACGCACGTGTTTTTATATAATATACATGTCGAAATTCCCCCCCACTGAAGAAAGATGGTTAGGATTAAGGCTTACGGTAAAGAACTCTGCTTCTATTTATACTATTTTAGATGCGGGTTTTTGCGTTTTTGATTGCGTTTTAATAGGGTACGTCAAGAGAATGTACACTAAGAAGAAATTTTTCGAAAAATTTCCCCCCCACGGGGGAAGTGTTATACATTTATAACAGATACATTTTGAGCCACAACAACGCGTGGCGGGGTCTGCTAGTTTCATTTAACTTAATTCATTTACATACTAAAAAATGTATCCTTCCTACTGTCTATCGCAGCAGCCCGTTCAAAATTCGGATACGTTACGTATTTTTGTTTTTTTTTTTCCGCGTGGGAAGTTATTTCAGACTCCTTTATTTTCTACAAACGTATTTAATAATCAAATTTGCAAAATTATATTACCTCAATTCCTACTACTGTACGGTATATATATATATATATTATATTTTATAACTAGATATGTAATATAATTAACTAATTACGCAATTGGTTAACATTATCAAAAATATCCATAACAAAAATCCAAAATCAGCCCGTATTCGTGATCGTAACAGAAATTTAATTAATTATGTATAATTTTTCTTCATTTATGTTTTGATTGATTGATTATTCTTTTCCATTTCCTCGAAATTATCCTTACGCTGTCTGTCTCGCCCCCTTTTTTTTACATATTCGCTTGTGTCATTCTCTGAGAAGAACGAGGTAAGAGTCCGTTTACGTTTTAAACGTCGTCAATTGTAAAGTTGAAAGTTGAAAATCCGACTGTCGTTATACCCACATATAAATCAAATATAATTCAGATAACGAGACAATGAAAATAATAACTTACGATTTTGCAGGTAAAACCCAAATTATTTCGAACGAAACAAGATTTTATGACTAAGTTTGATTAGCAATAACGACAGAATAATTAACGGAAATGTTAATGCAACAAGGTCGAAGGTAATCAATATGGCGACGTAACGGTCATTGTAATGCACGTAGTAAGAAGCGATTTAGTCGGACCAAATGAACGTGTTCTATCAGAAATCGGCAACAATATCCAAGTAACATACATGAACTAAGAAACTATCTATATATATAACCCATTCAACGGGTATCAGTCTGTCCTTCTGTCCCGTAACCGTTTGATAACGGACACTAGAGGCGCCCCTATCGTGTGTCATATTTCAAACATTCAAATTAACAATTTTAATTCTTATTTAAATTAACAATATAAATTTTTATTATTCATTTGGTCAATAAATTTTTATTTGGTCAATATAACAATATAAATAATTCAGTATATTTGTACTAGGAATTTCTTATTTCAGGGGCTTATATCTCTCGAAGGGTCGCGGGTAGGGGTATGGTTCCTTTGACTTTATTGTTAGTACAGGAGTCTACGGTTTGGGGGGTCGCCACTTCTTCATTCGAAGGGTAAATCTTACCATTCGGATTTTAACAAAGCTGTAGAGCATATTGATAGGAACAAAAAAGTCAAAGGAACCGTGCCTCATGGAAATTTGTAAAGAACGCCCACTAGGGGGCGTCCCGGGCTAATAGTTTAACATATACGATTTTAAATTTTGTATTACCACAAAAAAGTGAATTGTTTAACCAAAATTTTCTCACTGTTAGATTTCCTATAAGGCTTGGCTTTGATTTCAAATTCTACAAACTTATATTTAAAGAAATAAAAAAGATTACCTTCGTTTTCTAATTTTCATCTGTTGAAGTCATCGCTCATAAACGTCAGACACTTAAAATACAAACTGTCATCCCCAGGTAATCTCGGCCAAGATCGATTGTGTCCTCGTCAGAAGTAACGACTAGAATTATACAGTTTAAGGGAATGTGACTTTTTGTAATTATGTTATTTTAAAAAATAAGGTATATTTAATAGACATTCAGAAAACGCGTAGCATTTTTCCAGACGACCCGTATATAAAGTGCTACAAACAAAATTTCCTAGGACTATTTACCGATTGTGCTCCGTTCGAAACGCCATTGCTTAAGCTTGCCGTCGTTGTGGAGGGGCATTCAGGACGGCGGATGCACACGAACCGTGTCACGTGTCCCGATTTCGACGTCACTCGGTCATGTGACTAGGCCTCTGACGCGTTTCCGGGCAGCTGATTATTCTCGCGGAAGAATTCGTTCTAATTGCACTACACGTTGCAGGAATCACGTGATAGAGCAAACGACGTTTTATTAATACGTGATTAACTCTTTTATCACTTCGAACAGCCGCGTACTACAGTTTGACGAACTCTCCCTAATTACGCTTCCGTAACACCGTAACGTTCTATACCCAAATCCCAGTTAATATTTGACGACGACAATTTATTTTTCGATATTAACTCCGTAAAAACAAAACAAATAAAATAATAAATAATCGAATTAATTTAAAATTTAGATTAAATGCTTATAAGTATAAATTTGATATCTAAATTTACAAACACGTATATATTACATGATATAATTATTTTTCGTTTTTAAGTAATTTTATACGTCTCGCAACCTCCAAAATAATAATACAGTATTACTAATATGTATAAAAAATTACTTTTGAATTACGTAGAAATTTTCACAAATAGAAAAAATTGATTAAAATTTGTTGGAAAGTGCTTACAACAAAAATGTTCTTTTAAATTGAGTTGAAAATTTAAAGAAAAAAATGAACTTAGATCAAACTTCTACCTTAGAAGGTATTTTCGTTTTTTAAATGAAGCATAATACAAAATATTATTGTAAATTTTTATAAGATTTTAAAAAGCAAAGATGGTCGATACTCCGATCACTCTATTTGATTCTTACTTTACTAAAGAAAAGTCCCGCTACCGAGAATGCCCTTTTCGATTCAATTGATGTGGGTGGAATCGTCTTTAATGCATTTAAGAGAAGACGGATGTTGTGTGTTTTTTCACCTGCAGCCTGGAAGTCTTATAGTTCGTTTTTGAGATGCGTTACAGTACTTTTTTTGCCGTCTAGTACTCTTGATTTGTCTATCTCGGCTGCTTTAATAGCGGCATCGAGCTTACAGCCCGATAATTCGGCAGTTCGTTTGGCTTTAATAATCAGGTTTCAGAAGAAAAACTTCATACTTGCATACTTCGTATTCGTTTGTATCCTTGCCCAATTTGCACAACCAGGCATAATGCAGTTATTGAAATTACTGGGCATGGTTAAAAATTAAGACAGCATCGGCACAATTATTCCAGATAACACAGGTTCTGACAAAGAATTTTCAGAGTCCTGTTACAGACAGGCTACATATTGATTAGTGACAATCTGTGACATGCCATAATAAGCAAAAATTTTTTAAATTAATAAATACAGCTGTATTCTGACAGTTTATGGGTTAATTATACTTTCTATTTGCAAAATTGTTGTGATATTTTCAATAAAATCGATTATTTCATTCGAAGTAATAAAATAGATTGAAAAAAGTGCATGGACATCTGCACTGGTGGAGCTAAAGCTATGCAAGGTCTAATTTCTGGTGTAGTTGTAAGGATTAAGCAAAGAGTACAAACTTTTTATAGCGACCACGTTACGTCCTATTAGCCAATCGGAAGTAACGATCTAACGAGACTGTCATTTGAAATGAACTATCGCGCATTAACCATGCCTCCACGGGCAGTATAGGCTACTTAATTTGTAGAAACATTAGCTGCTAATCTGGAATTTCTTGACATTGTACTGTTCTCAATTCTGCAATCTTTACTTTCGCGTAGAAAGTCCGTCATGCTCGGCGAGGGAATTTCCAATATTAAAATAAAAATATAATATAACTTATTATTAAGTGCACTATCGGCCGCCCTAGGATTTTGGTCGCCTGCGTGCATATACCTATCAAAACTGCTCTGATGTACAGTTAAACCCTGGACCAAGTCCAGCGTTTCGCCACGCTCTCACACCGGTGATGAAATTTATAATTTCTTAAGTAATAGTAGTTATATACGTTACTCGAATAGCTATAAATAATAATCGATCATAAAACAATAGAAATTCTGTTTTTAAGTAATGCGACGCGAATTTAAAAAACATAAGTTGAGCTCAAATTAATCTTAATCAGCCAGCACCAAACAGTAATAGTAGAGTCGCTAGATATAATGTTCATTCGGCTACTTATAGCTGTCTAATGCTAATATGCTACGAAAGCGTGGCCTAAGTAATATTACAGGTCTGCGCAACTGGCTTAGCGTATATAGCGAATAGCGTCGCTCTTAGTTTTGGATGTTCTCGGACAGAGAACAGTTACGGACATTTGAATATAGCTGCGTATGTTTTCAATGGAAAATCTATTATTTTAGAAAATAAAGCAGCATATTTTTAAAATTAAGAGTCGATTTCAATAAGTTGTCATTATTATTATATTTGTTTATGAAAATTATTATCAATTTACTCAAAAACAAAGATATTTAAATTATTTAGTAATACTACTAACTGTTCATTATATCGTGTATAAAAGATTATAAATCAAGTAATATTTAAGTATCAAGTTAATAAAGATTTTTAACATCTTACACAAATAGCGATAACCGAAGAATTTAAAAATAACGTTTATAGAGTTCGTCTTTATGTAAAAAGTTGTTTCTTCTAAACTTTAAATAAAGTTTTTCAAACTGTACCACACTGTTATTTAAACTTTTTATCTGTATTTATTCTCAACATTATGTAAACAGATTGATATTTAAAGTCATTTAAATATATACAAATGTTTAATGCTTTTAAATTCTATTACGACAAAACCTGAACGTTGATTATTAATTCGTGGAAAACGACCGGGTGGAAATAACGAAAAAGAAAAATGAAACTTGTTACGAATAGAAAAGTCGACCAAGGTCGGTTTAAACAATGAGAGTTCGAATGTCGACATAATTTAAATAAGTTAGAAAACCGATACATTGTAAAACATCTACTTCTACAAGTAATGAATGTAAATAGGCTAAATGAAAAATGGAAATTCATTTGAAAATTAAAACTTCTTATTTAAAAAAACGATTGGTACAATTTCAAAATAAAAGACATCTTGCATTCAAAGTTTGCTCTTCTACAACATCGATTTATCACAAAATTATTTGTTCTATGCGACGAGAATTATTTATAATGCCTTATCATTTATGCAAAGGAATGCTTTGAAATCCGCGTCTAACTATTATAATTATTATATAAATTTTGTAATTAGTGCGCAAATTTCATAATACTTGAACTATTAATAATTAATGTATTTAATATACGAAAATTAATTTTAAATGTTTTCCGCGAGAAAGAAGTTGTCAGGAAATACTGTACCTCAGAAATGACACGTGCTGAGTGACGTTTCTAGTTATCCACGTGACTGAATGGCATCAAAATTAGGTCACGTGACACGCTTTATATTCCTCCATCCTCCAATAATTAGCAATAGCAGTGGGGAAAAGTGGAAACTTGTCCTAAGATTTTTTGTTTATAGCACTTTACAAAAAGAAAAACAATTAAGATAAAACGCTCATGTACGAATTCTATATGATCACGCATAATTACAAATCATCATATTTTACTATTAAATAAATTGCTTTTAGTAAAATACTAGTAAATTATATTCGGAAATATATAATGTTTTAACTTTAATTTTTCCTAATCTTTCAATTCGCTTTAGAAACTTTTCTATGAAAATCTTGTAACAGCTGTGACACAAATTGGGTAATTAGTGTGCCTGCGGTCACTCAACGCTAAAACAGATTTCATTATCCCCTTGAGAATTGCTAAAAGCTTTCAAACAATAGATATTTTCTCCCCTTTCCGTTTAAGACTAGTGTACGAAAGTATTTAACTACGGAATTTGCATTTACAAACACAGAATATTAAAACACTTAAATAATACTTAAAAACGGGAAAAGCAATACATTTTTATAACATGTTAAATAAAAATTTATAAATAAAAGTATGGTAATAATTGAGTAAGTAATCCGATGCGTTTTCGCTTATAGCTCTTAATATACGCGTCTCCCCCAAATAATTCTAATTGTTTAGGACACGTCTATTAGAGAGGTGTCTAAAGAGAGCAAAATTAGAAAAAACGGGCCCATTCAGTAAATATCAACTATTACCGCATTTCGTATCAATTAGGTTGCATCACAATACAAAAGGGAAAAATATAATTATTTTGCTGGAACATATTCTATATGTACCCCTACGTCTTTTACTGACGTCTCTCAAAAATAAAAGAAAAAAACGCGTGGAATATAGATTATTATATATATTTTCGATAATTATTTACGAAAAGTGTTTACTTACATTGTGAATTTCATCAACTAAACGTAAACCTAACTGAACTCAAAGCGTAAACTCAAGTAACCCGACGTCTGTAAATACTTAGAAACCAGAAGAACGGAACAGAAAGGGTGGCACGTGATGAGTCATTACGGGGCAAGACAATTTTTAGCCAATCGTAGACCGTGAGAATAAGCTTTAATGAATAAATAGGTTTTATAGCCCAGTGACAAATGTCAAGAGAAAGTAATTCACTATTTCCACGTAGTGATTCTTTCGGAAACAAACAACCGATTGAACGCATTGTTGACTAATTACAATGCAAATTTAGAAAACAAGTTCAAGGATTTTCGGATATTGCTTCATTAAACTCGACATTTTCATCTTATATACATAACTAGAAACTCCACTGTCAAGAATGACGGAATACTTTTTATGAGAAAGGAGTGGCGTGCCGTGACATTTGATGAATAGTGTAGGGATCCTAAAATCACGTCGGAATTTCGGTTGTTTGCAAAATTGCTATGTCAGGGAATTTCGGAAGTTCAATCGGGTCGAGAACACGTGTCGGGACAGTATACTCGTAGACTCGACCGAACTAAAACACTAGTTCTAAAATAAACGCGATACGATGATGAACGACAGAGGGGAATGTCCACCGAGTGAGAGGGGCTTTGTCAGGGTGCTCGTATATTAGAGTCAGAATGTATACAATCAAGGGAGGAAAGACTTATGGCCAAGAACACCTGTTAGATCATGTGAGCCCGGGACCGTCTCGGAAGGGGAGTAGGCGGACACAGAACATCTGGCCGATCGGTCAAGCCCGATGTCCAAGAAAAGGGGGGCCAAACGTTACCTAAAACAGGCCACGTGGTTTGTGTACGATCCCTACATATTTAGGTAAATCAGATCTTACCTTTTTATCTCATTCAGATATAGTAGTAAGAACAATTACAATTAATCCGTACGTAGGTAGCAAGTAGGATGTAGCAACTACTTCTATTTTCAGGCTTAAATTTAGTCTACCACAGTCCACAGGCGGCTATCACGTAATTTATAGTTTAACAATTATTGTTGAATCGTGAAATAAAACTGTAGTTCCCGAATCCTCCGTTAGGTGAAAAGTGCAAGCAAAGAAATAACATGATGCAGACGAAGTTCAGAAAATATTTCTTCTAATCGTAAAATAATTCTGCATCCTGATTAAAACAGATACAAGTTTCTCACATCGACACTTATTTTCCCTTTTTCCCATTTATTTCCAAAATTTCCACAAATATGGGAATTTTCCACGCATTTGACTCAGTTGGCAACAATGCTCTAAACTAGCATTAATGTCAATTTCTTCCGCACCTTGGTGCATATGTAAAGTTAGCCATTTCGCCCGATCCTAAAATTAAAACTATCGCGTTTATCATTGTTTATCATATTGTCAACATCGAGGAACTCGTTATACGTTAAATAAAATGGAATGTAGGAGTGTGATTTAAAATATAGTCATAGATAAAGTTTAAAAAGGCCTATTAAGGCAAGTAAGCACATAAAAGACAACAACAGCAGTGACAAAAATATCGAAGAAACAAAGGTCTCCAAAAAAGTTTTTGGAGACCTTTGTTTGCACTTTTCAATTTTTTATATTTCGGCAACCGGATTACAGAAAATGTTGAAATTTTGCACACTTAAGAAAACAATTTTCTTTCGGATGAGATATTCGGAAGCATTTCGGATGTTTGGGGAGCGGATAAGTCGACCCCCGAAAATCGGTAACTCTGATTCCTGTATATATAGTCAGTCAGTGACTTTTTTTACTTGGTAGGGAGTCACTGCCGAGACACTTGATCTTCAACAACGTTTGCAAGAGATAATAAAATAGTTCATAGGCCGGATGCTCGAGCGGGAACGAGGGATCGAATCAGAACGCGTTGAAAAATACCAAGGAATTTTTCGGGGGCTGGTCCGACGGGATATGTCAGCTGCCGTTCCTCACCACCCAGCCGCCCATAATGGACTTGCGAAAAGAGGCCGTCATAGAACCCACAGAATGGAATGAGTTAAAAAAAAAAAAGTTTATAAATGAGGAAAGTTATGCATATAAACTAAATTTAATCGTTTTTTATAGTGAGTTAAATAAGTAAATTTATAAAAGTTTGTTAACAAACTTTTATAAGTTTACTTATATATGTTTATACAGTATTAGGGACGCTTTACTCCCTTACTCCAAATATAGAATATTCATAACAAAAATTTTCTGACGATTCATCGATTTCCGGTGCCGCCGTTTCTCCCTTCCCCTTTTTTTTTTATTTTCTGACAGGAAAAAAAACGTTCGTGACGATTTTAAGGTATTTTATATATAGAGAATATATATAATTAATTGCAAGACAATCCACATAACAAAATTACATCCATATAGAAATTGATGTAAATATAATAATATTCTTTTAATGTTTCTCGTTTTAAAAATGAGAGGTCGCTTCTAGTAGCGCACGACTGCACGTTGTAGTACAATACATACCGATTATTCCATTGCTAAAGAAATTATCGAAAGGAATTTTTATTTGTAGAGCAGAATGGATTCGTTAGGAAGTGGAAATCTTACGGGAGCTCAGAAAAATGAATTTATGGACCAAGTTAAACAACAAATAGCTGTAGCTAGCGCTCAAGAATTATTACAGGTAAGTTTATTAATTAAAAGGTTTTATAGGTTTTTGAATCCAAATGAAATTTTGTTGGTCACAAAATATAATTGGTAAATGTAAACTGTTGGTACCAAACTGGGTAAACCCAAACTGAACTGTTTATAGTTATTAGTTACAAAGTACTTAGATGATATTTAGCATCAATAGTTATTTTAAGTGCAAATAACTAAACTAAAAATTGTCTTTAACGTTATACACGTCTGCCATGCTTAAAACGCATATTTCTAAAACCTACTCGCTTGTTTTCCTGTGGGTAAGATTCAAGTTCTGAATGAGGGTTTCGTACCCAGAATTGTAAACCTCCTGTATGGGCAAAAAAGTTGAAGGTACTATACCTGTATGTACTGTACATGCGACCCTTCATGAGATATTCACTTCCAAAGGTCAGTTTTTAACACGTATCGGTATTCTCCATGCTCTATGTTGACTGATGCTCCGCATGTATTCCTGTGCTTTGATACTTGGTATCGCTTGCGCCTCAGCACCCGGGTGGAGGCGAGTCTGCCATCAAGTATAAAACATCAAGTACACCATGAACAGTCACGTGGGCTACTTGAAACCAGCATAGTCATGTGGACTAAATTGTTAAACATGATAGTCTTAGTGGAGCGACATGACTCGTAATCTCACGCGACCTGATTTCGTGGGGCTGTAACTTGTGAAGGGTCACTTGTAGAAGAATGGTTCCTTTGACTTTTTTACTCTTATGGGTATGCTCTACAACTCTGATAAGGTTCAAATTGTCTCATTCAGAGCTTGAATTGAGTCAATGGGAAGGGGTATAATAGTAGCATTACATAATTGTTGTTGGCATTATTTGTTTGTTTAAAATATAACTTGTTATAACCTTATGCAGTTACTCATAGCACCGGCTGAAGATGACGCCTATTCCCAGGCTTAAGTACATCTCCACAATGGCACTCAGCCAGCTAATGCTTTACCTGGCAAGGTATATATGTACGTATACTAAGCATCCCAAAGTCCGATACATAGATACTTAACCAAACGATTGCCTTAAACAGTCAGCTATAAATCTGTTGTTATTAATTTAATGATAGCAGATATAATAGAGGATTTATATCACGATTATTTAAAATGATCATTTGGTTGATTATCTATGTATTGGACTTCTGAATGTTTAGTATACTTTCATATGTACCTTACTGGGTAAAGAACGTGTAAGATTATACCTAAATTTAAATACATCTGGAAACAAAGGCTTGCTCATGGTCTGGATAGCATAATTCAATTTGTTCACTTACAATTTAAATTCAAATGTAAAAAAATAAAAGTTTAAATAAACAATTTATGGGCTCCTTTCAGATCCAGACTCTAGGCTTGCGGTGCCTAACCTTTAGTCTTTCTCGAGCAAATTGAGAATTTAAAAGTTTTATGTAGCCACACATAGGACAACAACTTTTTTTTTTTTTTTTTAAATCAGCAACAATAGGTAAAAGAAAACACCATAATATTGCACTACTACTGTTTATTACTACTAATAATCTACTAAAAATTAAATGCAATATTTTTAAATTCAGCGAGATTTTCAGAATATGTATCTGATTCAATTTTCTAATGTTTATGAATATAGTTCTCTAAATTTGGAAAATGGCTGAAGTTACATTCTTTAGTTTGGGATATCCACAAATTTATTTTTGACTGAAACTCATTTGCACTTCCTATTAATTCAAAAAGAGTTCTGTTTCCCCCAAAGTTTAAGATTGAGTTTATTTATTTTGGTTGTTATATCAATAAGAAAGGATAAATCTGACAATCAACCATGATCATTAAGTTCTTCATAAGTTTTGTTTCTGGATTTTACAAACAGTTTTATCTCTGGAAGAAACTCTACAAAATGTTGTAGGATTTTCCCTTACTAAGCCATCTAATGCCAGACTTTAAAGTTCTATATTCATCAAGTTCATCAGTCAGTATTTTGAATAATTGATCTGAAATGGTCTAGCTCGAATAGAATTTACAATTTTTAGAACAACTTTCATGACATGTTCATAATGCAACACTTTTGTACATAATGCCTATTGAATGATGCAGTGATAATGAAAAAAATTTGGAAACTCAACATCATTCTTACATAATGTGATGAAGCAGAACCAATCATGGCAGGTGCTCTGTCATTTGTTATGGACACAACTTTTTAAAGGGCAGATTAATTTCTTTAATGTAGTTTTTAATAACTTGGTATATGTCCTTTCCATATGTATTTCCTTGTAGTGGCAAAACTGAGAGCATATCTTCTTTTATTGAGCAATTGTTAAAGGCCATCTTACAAAAATATTTATTTGAGCAATATTGCAGATGTCTGTTGATTCATCACATTGTAAACTTTAAAAAATGTATTTTTCTAAATCTTTTTTTCTTTGCAATTTGATATTTTCAGACATTACTTCTATTCTACGAGTGACTGAATTTCTTGATAATTGAACATCTTCAATAGCTGATATAATTTCCTTCTTATTTTTAAATTCTTGAAATAATGTTTCTGATGCAGCAAGCATTGCTTCTTTAATTATGTTGCTGTTGTCAAAGGATTTTTGTGCATTGTAAGTATATGTGAAATCTTAAACAAAGCAATTGTAGCAGTTCTTGATTTAGTTACAGACAGTAAATATGGATTGTTGGGCAACTAAATATGGTGTTCAGTTCCTTCACTTCAGAGTTTCTTAAACTGCTGTTAATAGAATATTCAGTATCATATTTTTTTTATTAACTGTTGTAAAATGTCATTCTACATTGCACTTTTTAACCACAAATGAAACAAATATATTTGTTCTTAAAATAAATAAATAAAAATATTTCTCTTTCCAATTTTATTGAAAATTGTGTGTTTGTTTTTTCTTCTTCTCTGGTTCATATTCAGACACAATTAGGGTAAATATAAGATAAATTTAATTTTTAGAAAATTAACCCTATACAAATTCAAAGTTCTCTCCGTGTAAATACAAAAACACTTTAATTAGTACAAAAATAAAAACATACAACCACTATAAAAATATATGTACACTGCTCATGTGAAGATTGATAATTCACTGCATTAAGGGGAAGGAGAGAGATGGGAGGTGTCAAGTATGCATTGTACAAGGCCAGTCAATTTTTAGGTGTCTCACTTGGGCTGAAAGTACATATGACATAAATGTCCACTGATAAAAATTAATTTATATATATATTTATGTGTAATTTTAAAATTATTTTATTTTTAATAAACGTGATGAATCTGAATATGTGAGCCATGAGCCACATTAAAATGGTGCACAAGCAACACATTGCTCATGAACTACTGGTTGGGCACTGCAGCTCTAAGCAATGTAAATGTTTAGTTTGCCTGGGCTTAACTCCAGCCATGTTTTCGGAAAAAAATTTGAACACACTTTAGATAAATATATTATAGTACAGTGGTGCTTCGTATAATGTATGCCTCGAATAATGGATGCTGTGAACAAAGGAATTTCAGTTTGGCTGTTACATGACTTGAGCAACGGACTGGCTGCGAATAATGGACTTTCCGTTTGGCAGTTACGTGAGGCAAACAAGAGACTTTCTGCAAATAATGTTTTCACTCTTTTGTTGTTGCCAATGACAATCTGCTATTTTTATAATATATTAGTATTATTAGAATATATTATTAGTATATCTGAAGTACAAAGCTTCCGTTGGGATTCAGCTTGCTCCCTTGTTTATTACGTGCATCACCTCAGTGCAGGGTATTTACATTTATTCAAGTGTTGTGCAAATCATGGCTTCTAAAAAAACATAAAGGTGATTTCAATTGAAACAAAGCAAGAAACCATCAGAAGGAGTGAAAGTTGACAAAAACTTCCTTGTCAAATGGGGAGAGGTTCAGGAGTTTACCAACACTCATTATCCAAACAGAGCTGAGGCCACCAGGATCAATGATCTCTACAATGACACCCTTGCCTGTTATTTTTGACAAGTGTTGAAGAAGAGAGAGAAACAGACCACAAAAATAAAAACATACAACCACTATAAAAATATATGTACACTGCTCATGTGAAGATTGATAATTCACTGCATTAAGGGGAAGGAGAGAGATGGGAGGTGTCAAGTATGCATTGTACAAGGCCAGTCAATTTTTAGGTGTCTCACTTGGGCTGAAAGTACATATGACATAAATGTCCACTGATAAAAATTAATTTATATATATATTTATGTGTAATTTTAAAATTATTTTATTTTTAATAAACGTGATGAATCTGAATATGTGAGCCATGAGCCACATTAAAATGGTGCACAAGCAACACATTGCTCATGAACTACTGGTTGGGCACTGCAGCTCTAAGCAATGTAAATGTTTAGTTTGCCTGGGCTTAACTCCAGCCATGTTTTCGGAAAAAAATTTGAACACACTTTAGATAAATATATTATAGTACAGTGGTGCTTCGTATAATGTATGCCTCGAATAATGGATGCTGTGAACAAAGGAATTTCAGTTTGGCTGTTACATGACTTGAGCAACGGACTGGCTGCGAATAATGGACTTTCCGTTTGGCAGTTACGTGAGGCAAACAAGAGACTTTCTGCAAATAATGTTTTCACTCTTTTGTTGTTGCCAATGACAATCTGCTATTTTTATAATATATTAGTATTATTAGAATATATTATTAGTATATCTGAAGTACAAAGCTTCCGTTGGGATTCAGCTTGCTCCCTTGTTTATTACGTGCATCACCTCAGTGCAGGGTATTTACATTTATTCAAGTGTTGTGCAAATCATGGCTTCTAAAAAAACATAAAGGTGATTTCAATTGAAACAAAGCAAGATATCATCAGAAGGAGTGAAAGTTGACAAAAACTTCCTTGTCAAATGGAGAGAGGTTCAGGAGTTTACCAACACTCATTATCCAAACAGAGCTGAGGCCACCAGGATCAATGATCTCTACAATGACACCCTTGCCTGTTATTTTTGACAAGTGTTGAAGAAGAGAGAGAAACAGACCACCTTGGACATGTTTTTCAAGAAGCAAGCTGCCAAAAAACAAAGGATGGAATAAGAGGAGTTGACCCTGCAAGCTCCAGTAGCCTCTCCTGAATCTGACTCCAATTAAAAAACAATAAAAAGAGACCTATTGCAGTGTGTAGAAAGTCTGTATCTGTATGAATGTGTGAAGAAAGTGTTCCTCCACCTCCTCCTCACAACATCTTACTATCCGGCATAATTGGTGACTGCTCCATTTTCATTTTTTTAATGGTACAGTACTGTTATTTTATGCTGTGGAATGAATTATATGTTTTAATGTGTATTTCTATGGGAAAATGCGTTTCGTATAACGGACTTTTCACTTAATGGATGTGCACCTGGAATGGATTAAGTACGTTATATGAGGCACCACTGTATAGAAAAATTGCCAAATTGAAATTGTCAACTGGCTTCAAAAATCATTAAATCTGGTGATTTATTTCAGATCTGGCAACATGTGAATGTGTTAATATTATTCTTAAAATAGATTTTTGTAATACTATTAATTTATTTTTAAGCTAATTGGAAAAAGAAAATTAAATTTATGTTAAATAATGAATAGAATAAAATTACAAATGTTTTTGTAATTTAGATATTAAAAATAAATGGTATCATCAAAAAATATTAAATCTAAAATATATCAGTAACAAAAAAAAATAGTAATATTTGAAGTTATGTTACATTAAGTTTGAAAAAAGCTTATTCTGATATCAAGATTTTTGTCATTTCATAAATGAACTATTATAAAAAGTTGAAAATTTCATTCAACATTTTGGATCTTTTTGTTTGTTTCTTCTTTTTTTATTCTGTTAACATTAAATTCTTGTCTGTTTTCACTTTTCTTTCCATAATCAAGGATTTGGCCAGATCCACAATTGGCATATCAGATGTAAGGAATGTGGCCAACATAAACACTGAATAGCCTCTAAAAATTCCTAGGGTTATTTGCAGAAATTTAATCCTGGCTCCCCAGAGCAGTGGGTTGATATCTTGACTGCTTTAGTGATCCAGCAGTCAGTATTATGGTTTTCATCTTATGCTTTGCTGCATCACAAGATAGTTAAGACAATGCATTACAATACAAGAATTTGGAAAATTTAATATTTCTGTTACATAAAATATTTTCCTATTATTATTATTTAATGTTTTATTTAATTGTAAATTAAGTACAAAAATTAATTTTTAATGTAATAATAATCTAGTGTAATATTTTTTAGAAGTATTAAATTTTAAAATATAGAAAATGTTTTAATTGATTTTACAGTTGTTAAATATACTTTAGAATAAATCCAAATAACAAAAAGTAAATTTTCAGAAAATAACTGAAAAATGTTTCAAGAAATGTATATACAAACCTGGCACAACTTTAGATAATTCTGAACAGGTAATAAATTCCATTTTTTTCCAAAATATAGATAATATTTAAGTTTTATTTAGTGTTTTTAAATAATGGAAAAACAAATATGAAATTCTTAAACCAATAATATACAATATACAGGATCATTACAATTAAAGTTCCACTTTGAAATGGCCATAAAAGGAAAACTACTGGACAGAATGTTATCAAACTTGGTAATTGGCAAGCGCCAAATCCGACAGAGGGCGCTGTTTTTGAGCCAAGATGGCTGCCAAAACAGGTAAGGAACCGACCATGTGTTTGTTCGGTGCCTGAGCCAATTCAGTTTCTGTCGGTGACAACTACTGCAAGGACCAAATGGAGAACAAATTATTGAATTTATGTCAAATTCTAGACTATATCGGCGACAGGAAACGTTGTCTTGTAGAAGGTGACGCCGTTTTGGATTCTGGACACATCGTATTTTGTGGATTAAACTCTAACAACAACACTGAAGTTCATGTTGTTGCTTTAGTGTTGCAATCTCAGATATTGTCATTTTAATACATAGCAATTACAGGGAGAATGCACATGCAAAGCGGGGCTGTCTGGTTTTTGTAAACATGTGATACACGTTAACAGGTGAAAGTATTTAAGTATTTTAAACAGTATACACCATGTTCCAATATAAAAACATAGCTTTATTTTTCATAATAGTTAAAATTAATGCCAATGTGAAGGCTGCCCTGCTGAGTCATTCTGCACTTATACAACATAGCCCAGTCAAAAGTTTGTAGCGCACATTATGTTTGGTGTGTGTGTGTGTATGTCTCATATATCATTATTTACTTATTATTGCTTTAGCTGTTTAATAAATGTTAGATTTTGACTGGTGACAACATAGCGACCCTACTTGTACACCATAAACTTGCATTGTCAAAAGACTACAGGTATATGAGATGTACACACACACAACAAAAAAAAAAAAACATAATGTATGCTACAAACTTTTGACTGGGTTATGTTGTATAAGTGCAGAATGACTCAGCAGGGCAGCCTTCAGATTGGCACTGATTTTAACTATTATGAAAAATAAAAATATGTTTTTATATTGGAACATGGTGTATACTGCTTAAAATATTTAAATACTTTTCACCTGTTAACGTGTAATAAACGTGCATTCTCCCTGTAATTGATATGTATTAAAATGACAATATCTGAGATTGCAACACTAAAGCAACAACATGAACTTCAGTGTTGTTGTTAGAGTTTAATCCACAAAATACGATGTGTCCAGAATCCAAAACGGCGTCACCTTCTACAAGACAACGTTTCCTGTCGCCGATATAGTCTAGAATTTGACATAAATTCAATAATTTGTTCTCCATTTGGTCCTTGCAGTAGTTGTCACCGACAGAAACTGAATTGGCTCAGGCACCGAACAAACACATGGTCGGTTCCTTACCTGTTTTGGCAGCCATCTTGGCTCAAAAACAGCGCCCTCTGTCGGATTTGGCGCTTGCCAATAGTTTACAGGAAGTCATGGGATTTTATTTCCCACAAAAAAAAAAAAAAAAAAA